GTTACTAGGTAGGCCTAACTGTCGGGTATTAAAGTAGGACTTTTAATGATGATAGGCTGTAGGCTAGGCCTAAAGTGTAGGCTAACCAGCCTTTGTTGAAAGGGCACTTCATGAAAAGGGGGTTCGTTCAAACCCAACGAACCTCCCTGGCTACGGGCTTGCTGGGGACATTTTTTCAGGGGGCTTCTTTACCAGGGGCCATTTTTTCCAGGGCCACATACCTCCCTGCTTTTACCTACAATCCAGTTCAGTGTATACTGATGCAATAATAATAATTTAGTATTTGAAAAGTTAGTAACATATAAGAACATTTTGAGCCTGAAATGGGCAAAAAAATAAGAACACTGTGTTTGGGCAAAATCTTATAAAAAAAAGTGTATTACAATACTCAGATTTGTTAATACTTACCTACTTTTAAACAGGCGATTACTATAGGTTTCGGGCTTAAACCACTGGTTTTAGTTTTTTAGCCAGAGATGGTTGGCGGGCAGTACACATACTATAGGGATTTACGGCACTGGTTTAATTTTTCTGTTTGGGGAAAAAAATTCTTCTGGACTAAAGTAGCTTTTGTCTTTAGTCAGCAGCCACACCTTGCATACAGTGGACATTTTGTGTTATACTTCAGTGGCATTATATTATCATCAAGTTTTTTTATATAGTTTGTGTAGTTCATATTTATGGCGCCCATTCATTCAGGTTACAAAGCGTTTTTCCGTGTTCATTTAGTCAACATGCTTAATACTGTAGTGTTGCTGCTGAATCAGCATAGTGTAGGAGCAGGCAACTCTACTACTGTACTACCAGGTACCCATTCATACTCCTGGGTGGAGAGAAGCAATGCAGACATATAAGTACCTTGCTCAAGGACACAAACGAAATGCACAGCGAGAGATTGAAACCCCGATCTCGTCCGGTGTAGTACAGTTGTTGTGGAAAGTGCAACTTGCAGATTACAGTACACTTGGATTTGTTTTAACCATAGGGTCTACAGTAAAACCTCATTGTTTTCCAACACTATTAAATGATTCTCAAAGTAATCAAGGTAGATTTTGATAATTTTTCTATAATATTCTTCCAGCTTTGACCTTGGTCGTGGGCATGGCCATGACAACAACTGCCAAACTCATTTTTCTACTGTATTATCTGTTGTTTTATTCACTTCACTGATAAATGCGTATATTATACACGTTGCATATGCAGGTAGTTTAGTTGTTAGCAGACTTTTGGTTATCAGTAGTTTAAATATTAAACTGACAAGAAGAATAACAGTTTGGAGTTTATACTGGTACCAGGAACGTTTTCATGCAGGATTCTATAGGGGATTCCAGTTATCTTTTGGGGCGATAGGTGAAGTGTTTATCAGCATTCACAGGTTTGTATACAGTATTATTATTGTGTTTACAGTTACTCAGAATCTACGCCACACAGATCAACCTTTTTTTACCAATTATATTATTTCTAAAACTACTGTAACACTGCCCATTATAATATTGTATTTAATGCTTATCCCACGGGTGTTCAGTGACTTGCTGTACTGTTTCTTTCAGTATAAATATTTGCTTCTTTTTTCCCTAGCATACAGTGCTGTAAATTTACTTAACACACATGCTTTGCTGATTGTAGACATAAAGGTTTTAATTATTGTGTCTCAGTGAAAAGTGATTTTTTATGTACTTCCTGTTTTTTTGTTTTTTTGTTTATTTTTCATTTGTATATTTTGTATTAAATTTTTTAAATGTTGGCTTTTAGGGGGTTTGAGAATGTTTGGTTTAATTCAACTTTTTGACCCCCTCTCTACCTCCTGATAGTTTGTTTATTATTCTGTATCTTTGTTGTGTTTCAAAGATGGAATATATGAAATGAAATGTCAAAAATACTGTTTCCTAAACAACGGTTTCCATAGAATCGCTCACCCTATCTGCGACTATCGGTGACAGTTCATGTCGGGAAGGTTGAACCTGGTTCAACTTTGCCGATTGCGTTGCAGACGAATCAGGGTGTAATTGCTAGCTGTCCTGACGCAAATGGGAAGGCACCCTAAATTCGTCGGCACAGTTGAACCAGGTTCAACCATCCCTACAACTGTCGGCGACTGTCACCAATTATAGGGTGAGTGATTCTATAGAAACCAAGGTTAGAATTTACTTGCATGCTAACTTGCTCAACTAGAAAAGAAATAAATACACCTGAAAATACCTTCATCCCTGAGCAGCACATCTGTCAGCACTACCAAGTCATTTCTGTATAGATTATTGTATACCAAGAGGGTGTGCCAGGGGTGGTTGAGTGCGAACAGCCCCCTTTGTAATTTGAAAATAAGAGAGCCGTCGTTCTTCAACCTACAGACAAGAAAAATACAAGAATTAAACCTTATTCTCAAATAGAATTTAAAAAGTTGTTTGATTGTATAGTATGTAACATGGTTGACAAGCAGCATGGCCTCGGATATAAATAGAGAGTTATGAATGGAAATAAAATTTACAATTTCTTGGTATTTTATGAAAGGGTATGTTTGAAACCATGATTTGAAAATTTAAAAATCCTTTAATACTGTAACTTTTCCATTGTAATAGACAGTAAAGACCTGAAAATACTTAGAATATTTCAATTTGTCAGGTATGCCTTGAGAAATTGTCAAATTTTTGTGGGGGGCTCTGTCTCCGTGCTCCCAAATGGGTCTCTGCCTCTGGCTCTCGCTGGGGGGCTTAGCAACCCTCCTTGAAAACTCATGAAATACAAGTACATTGAATGTTGGAGGAATGTGGGTTTAGACATTCCTATTCACTACATACCACAAATGACCTGGAAAGTATGCAGTAGTTGGAACAGTAGAGTACATTTCTTGCTTACTGTTATGTCAACTGTACTCTAGTACTTTACATGATTTACAATATTGTACATGGTAAGGCCAGGTCATGCATTAAAGTACATTACTTGGGGGGTACTGTACAGTATATTTTTGGTTGCTAGAAGTCAGTTAACTTAAACTTTGGCACATAGGAGCCTTTATACTTTAAACTAGTACTAGCATGGAAAAATTCTATAAAGTAAACCATTATTGTCTACTTCGTGAATACATACTTGGATAAACTGACTAATTGCCTATTCTTTCTCACACAAGAAACACCCCTCGAAAAATAATAGAACAGTTGACTAATGGCGCCAAGCACAAGCGGCCCTGCATAACCATGCAACTTCCTCATCTTTTTTGATATTTATATCTATTGAAGTTTAAGAGCTTTGAGCCTTGGATTTTATTTCTGCCTTTTGCTGTGGATGTACTGTATGCTGTGACGTTATGGCCGGCAAGTCCGAATGTCCACAGTGTCGTGGCCCTCGGCCTAGCCCGAAGGTGGATAACCACAAAGTTAGCCCTGCTTGCAGGGGGTGTTCAGCCGATTCTGCTTGTGAGATATGCGTTAGTTGGACGCCATCGCGATTTGTAAACATCAGAGCTTGGCAGGCTGACCATTGCTGACCGGCTCGATCAACGTCCCAGTATAAAATCGCTGGTAGAGTTCATGGGGAGTTTTTTTTTTATGTTAGATGGTTGAAAATTGTGCTTTAAAACCACAATAGCGATTACTGTAAAGATATAGGCAAAGAACAATTTTTGGTTTGACGACCTATTCATGGCGACACATAATAGAGGGTCTAGGCTTTTCCAAGTAGGGGTAAGAGAAGAGTTCCCCATCTGACATGCGATTGCTCCTCTATGGCTAGTGTAAGTCATGTGACGTGATCCACCCAATCACGCATGCAGAATCGTGTGGTCCTGAGTCATACAGTATACGGGACTGTACAGTACACTCCCATTTTTTGGTCGATGGACTACTGTATAGTTTAGTTCAAACATGGGCTTGCAATATTACTACAGTATATTAAACAATATATTCAGAATTTCATTCAAGGTCTCTGTTTTCTCTCATAGAAATAGAATGTACAATTTTTGTTTACTGTACAGTACTGTATGAGTTGTACAGTATTTTTGGAAGTATTTGCTTTGAAACAATGAATTCTAAATTCCTGAACTGTATAGTTTTACTGTACTGTATTAAAAAAATACTGAATGTGTGTAACGACCCTGTCACAGGGTGAGACTGAGGCAGACTGGGACCCTGGTAGCTACCGATCCACTAACTACTGTAAACTAGAGGTGCTGGGGACCGCAGGGTCTGCTCATGTTTTGACACTCTCGGATATTTAATAGCATATTTGTACAAGTTGTAAAGCCTCACTCTCCATAGTTGGGAGAAAGGAGCGGTAACTAGGTATTGGTACTTGTTTAGTAATTGCATGTATTGTGTTTTGTTCAGTGATTTTTTTTTTTCCAGATATGATTTTTTTTTCTTCAAAAAAGGCACCATGTCTTTAGGCACATTATTCCTCCCAATTGAAAAATAGGCCAATCTGCCTCTGTGGTGAACCTGCTAGTTGCTGTGGTCTGGCTTCATTTTAAACCACAGGATATGACCAATAAGCAGCTAATCTAATTAAAATGTACCAATGCTGCTTTCAGAAGCCTTTCAAAAGTCAGTGATCCTACAATATACATGTAGTACTGTATCATTATCAAGTTAATTCACTTTTTTTTTTAGCAGACCCTCATGAAACTGTTAATGGCTTCACTTGAGACATTTTAGGATGTTTAGGAATATTGACTGACTGAGAAAAAGACCAAGGGTATACAGTACAGAGAATTGACTATTGGACAGAGCTTGGTACCTTTAACAGCAGGATACATACACAGTAGGATTTCGAGAAAACTATACGAATTGGGAATAATAAACAGGAAACGCTCTTGACGACGTCATCAAAGTCTCGATCTGTAAGTTTACATTTGCTTTAGGTGTGAATTTGAAGAAAATACACCCAACATGTCTTGCTACTGTGTGTCTCAATCCAGATGTTAATATTGCTAATGTGCTGATGATACACTCAATGAAAATAGCAATGTTTGGTACAGTTGCTGTACCCACTCAAACTACAGTATTCATTCATTACACCTTCTACCTCATGTACTGTAATTTAGTCTACTGTAGGCCTAGTATTCATTTCACTATTAAAATTACTAATGACTCAACATACATAAAATCTAGTAGAATACAGTAGAATCGCTTCATTTGAGACACCCATATTTCCCAACCACAGAACTGGGGTAAGGGAGGTGGTAGGTGGTCTAGACTCTCCAGCTGTGAACGTCTCTTCTTCTACCCCATCTCCCTTTCCAATTTCAAATTCCTGAATCCACCACTGTAAAGCTTAAAAAAAACTTTAAATTCAATCATATACTAATTTGAATATTAAGGAAAAAATGATTTATGAAATATATCATAGCACCATTCTTGTAAATGTCGTGCTTTTAATTGGCATATTTGAGTTCCTCCTTATGTCTTAAAATGTTAAAAAAACAATTTTGCAATAACACGAGCAAATATTGGACTACAAAAGCAACATGTGAGAATTCATTGTTAAAATTACGATAGTACAGTACAGTGAAAAAACAGCAGAGTATTCAGTCAGTGGCGGCTGTAGGATTTTCTAGGAGGGGGCCTAAGCTGTCTAACAGGGGAAGGGGGTGTTGAGTGAGATAAGTACACCTTGGGCGTGTATTGCCATCCAAGGACCTTCTGACCGAGCGGGGAGGGTTTAGAAGGGGGACGTCTCCCTCATCCCAATGAGATTTTTTTTATAGGGATATCAAGATGGCTGGAAATGTCAGAAAGACTTGAAAAATGCTTTTAAATGAGTTGTTAAATACTCTCAAACTCAACTCAATAAACACTCATTTTGTTTCATTAGACCTATAATTTCTATTTGTGGGGGTGGGGGAGGGAGGGTCCGCCACTGTATTCAGTATGTAGTGGGTACAGTAAAGTGAAACATAGTACTCCAGTGAGCGAGGCTTACAAACGCGTATATGAAATATAATGGAATAAAATATAAAGTGTCCATGTTCACTAAAGTACAGTAATACAGTACATGACGAAAAGGAATGCCTGCATCCATCACAACATTTTTATAACTGTATAATCCATTTTTACCATTCTTTACCAGTAGGCCAACCTTACCTGCAACATTATAAACAAAAGATTAAAAATGAAAAAAAAAAAAAAAAAAAAAAAAAGATGAAAGGGTGTATGCCTTCCTGCAAATATCTGGACCTGCCCCAGTAGCCCATAGCCTCAAGTCTGTACATAATTACAGTACGGTACAGCAGGAGCCCGTTTATCAACACCCTCTAACACTGCTAGTAGCATTGGCTATTCAAAAACTCCCCAAATTTTGTGGTTTGGGATTCCTGCTTGTGCCCGCCGGCAACATCGAGTGGTAATTAATCACTGACCAAGTCGAGGTCGCCAAGGAAGTGCAGTTTATTCATGGAGAAACTTTTCTGCACGGTTTATTTATAGCCTTATCCAGAATATCAACAATTGATGTTCAAGTTAAACCTAAGACAGTATCTTGATTATTATTTATTTCTCTGTAAATTGCAGCTCTTCTGTTTGCAGGTAGGGCATATTGGTGTAAACTGCATAGGGGACACCACCTGTAGAGATAGGCCTAGTTTTTACAAAACAATGGGCTGGACGGAAAGTGCCATTAAGATATGCACTCCACAGCATTTGTGGAGAAAAAAAAATTGTTGATTCGACCACACACTTCACAATGAAACGCTATTTTTGTTTTTACGGTTTCAAAATTTCAAGTAAAAAAGAGTGTCATTTTCAAATGGCCTCCAGTGGTAATTTTTGTTCAGTGACAAAACACCATGTTCAATCCAACAGTGTTGTATTGACACAGAATATGATAGGCTTTTTTCAAGCAATTTTTTCTGAATCTTGTTTTAACATGGCACTGAGAGGCTATAAATTATTATCCGTCAAGCTCTTAAATTAATCCAATCACAATATTTTGTTTACAGTACAGTAGCCGTGTTTTATAGTGTGTTTTTGGACAATAGATTATATACTGTACCTATAGTCTGTTAAGCATGACTTGGCAAGTAAGACAATTTTTAGTGTCTCTAATAGAAAGATTTAGCGATGGGCGTCACATGACCTAACTTGTGTGTTCGATACATAGAGCTATTAAACAACTAGAGTGCTGACAAGATGGCGCAGCAATGCAGAGTTATGTATGTGTACCATCCAAGATGGCCGTCGTAGTAAAGCGCCACCTTCAGGCTTAGTATACATATTATTACATATTAATAAGCCCTCTGACTGACTATTATTTTATTAATGTTAATGAGTAATGGTAATAACAAATTATTAAACTATTTTAGCCAAAACGAGGCCAAGTGGAGCATCTTATTCAAAAATAAAGTACCAAGGAATGAAAATTAAAATCGTGTAGATTACACCCAAACACTGCAACGCTCGAGTTTCAAACTAGCTGTACCGAACTTTCTGAGTAAATTGAGGGCGCAATTGCAAACGATGGTGCTTAGCGAAATTTGATTGGCTAAATCTATGGCAGCCATCTTGGATGGTACACACACACAGTTCTGCGTATTTCGATCATCGAATACATTGCGGTTAGCGCTATTGTATTCTTATTATATCTCTATGGTTCGATATAAACAATCGACTGACACAATGGTGTTTTAATGGATATTGCTATTGCGACTGTTTCTTGTTTTAAATTGCTGTAAAGATCATAATTCTTAGTAAACTACCAAATTGATTTAAATCAAACTTGAGAATTTTGCCTCTATGGTTTGCTAATGCTGTAAAAAATACTTGCCGCAAACTTTGAGATTTTTCGACAAATGTTAGGCCAGGCTCCTGCACATCTACGTCATTGTTGTACATGATGGTCTTTGACCCGCAAACTACAGTAGGCTGCGATGTAGGGCTAGCTAAGGTTTATGCAGGATCACTTAAATTTCAAAGTATACAATCCTTGGGGAACTCTGGAATAAGTATATAAACACTATTTTCAACATTCATATTCCTTTTCCTAGTCATTTATTTCTCACCTTAACAGTGGGTGGTTGTTTTCGCAACCATAACATTATCTTTACCTACAGTATACTATCACACTGTTAAATGTTTTTCATGTATACACAAGTTAAGTCACGTGACCGGCTGTAAACAAACATCGCCGAATCCCTCTATCTGCCTTGATAGCCCTGATACCTTTTATTGGCCCCAAATATATCCAGTTGCCAACTCTTTCTCTCAGAGACTGAACTACCAGCAGTTCTATTCGCTTTGCATGAACTATACAGTGTTTACAAAACCAAAGGGATGCAGGTACATACTTTAACCCACGTGTATGAATGTACTTCTGACACACAGAATATGATAGGCTGTTTTCCGGAAAATTTTGTTTCAAGAATGGTCTACCTAATAGTAATTCTGAAATGTGTCTCCGATGGTAGCATCTCAGGATTCGTCTTTACACATGTTCACATACAGTAGTCATAGATTCTATTGTCCTGCTTTTGGGATTTGTGTCCCAGCCTATCCCTGAATTGTCTAGCTTTTCAACTTTTTTTAAGATAATCATGATAATACCAGCTTAAACTCCCAGAGAATACTCGGGAGCCTAGAGACTAGAGTTATAGACACAAGACGGAGTGCAAGATGCGATACAGACGATTGAACCCAAAGACAGTCAAGCCCAGGATGATCAGGTAAGGACGATTGGGCCCAATTTACAAGTGATCCCAATTGTCCTGGAAAGGTACCCAATAGTCTGCAAATGGGCCTGATCATCCTGGGCCTGATCTTCATGTGTGCTCGATCATCTTTAGGCAAAATAATTTCAGCCCATGGATGCATGATTTTGCCTAAAGACGATCAGGCACACCTAAGTGTTGATTATCGGGTCTACTTTCATTGATTCATTGCGTTCTAAATTTATTTAACATACAGGTTTAAGATTTGCTGTTTCTGCTTTCTTTTATAGCAACATTATTTTTGACAGCTCATGTGGCCAAACCCGTAATGGCAATGAGCCAAACAACTTTGTTTTGTATCGTTCATAAACAGTATACAATATCGGAACTATGAGACATCAGCATATCTTTATGTATACGGAAGGACGATTGCCGGTATTACATCCTATATTACTGTACACCTTCCTGCTAGTAAAGTTGTACTAAGAATAAACAAACATTTTACATACAGTAGTACTTTTCTTTACCAGTATCAGTGGCGGCCCCGGCCCTTCCTTTTGGGAGGTAAAAAAAAGAAAAAAAGAGAGAAAAAGAAAAAAATGATAGCCCAGAATGCCTCAAATGTTATGTTCGGGCGTCTAGAACACGAAAATTTCGTGGGGGCATGCCCCGGACTCCGTACGACAGTGTTGTCTCAATCGGCCCAACTTTCGGTCCCCCTTCCGGCCCACCCTTTTGGACATTTCTGGATCCGCCCCTGAGTATACAAAAAAAAAATTAAAGAAATCCTGCTGTTGTCCAAGGCTGTTTTAACCATCACCCATTAAAATTGAATCAGTATAAATTGTGTGTTGGTGAAAAAAATTACTTAGGCCGGGATGGCCTAAACTGGAGGAAACAATAAATCCGGTCTTGCCTAGCTACAATTGTGTTGATCTTTTTTTTAATTTATTTAACCCCACCTGCGTCTACGGCTGCCCTTGCTCATTGGACATTACAGTACAGATTTTATTAGAAAAGTATTCCACAAGAGAATACTATGTGTATGGTAAAGTCAGTGATATAGAAAATAAATGAACAAATTCTAGGAAAACCAATTTGCATTTTGACATTGCCAAATATTTGTACAGTCAAAACAGGAAATCAGATTTTTCATAAAGGATATTTGTTTTGATAGTTCTTCAGGCGGATTTTGGTGGGTGGGAGAAGGGAAAAAATGAAGGAAAGAAAATCAAATTATTGATCACCCAAAACGCCTCTGCGGTTATTTCTGGACATCTATAATAAAACAAACATTTCCAGACTCCACTATTAGGTTGTTGTCTCTTGTTCGGACCCATCCCCTTTCCGGGACATCGGCACCCCCCTTCCCCTTCTTTCGCACATCTCTTGTGCCCCTGTTCTCTACGATAGGTTTATGGTCTAAATCTAGGGTTCATGGTCCATCATCATGTTAATCCATTTTGGTGTTTTTATGTCACAGTTGGACTGAAATTTACAAAACCTTGAATTGAAAGTTTCCATTTAAATATCATACATAGTATTTCCGGCTCTTTGGGGAAAGTTCTTCTCTTTTCAAACTGGAGATTGGCAAGTACAACAATGTTTATGCCAATATTGGAGAGATCGTCCACATCATCAGAAAGGAAGAAATAAGCCTACGAATGATTAAGTGCCTCTTTCTATAGACTGAATTTCACCAAACCAAAGCCGTTTATAGCGGTATAGCATCAAAACAAACCACTAGGTGGCAGTTTTTTCTCACAATTATAAGCCTCCGCTCGAGTAAATTTTGAGCAACAGGACTTTGCCCCCTAGAAGTCCTCTCGAAATTCTTCATATTTTTTCTGAATGGAAATTTAAATCAAATCAACCTTTAATCTCATGAATCTATAGATCATTCAAAATGTATACATTGTATAAAGAGTATCTTCTACGCTAACTTCATTACATTTTAGACGCTTTATAGACACCATTTTCGCCTCCGCTTAATGCATTACCATAGACTTTTACGATGCAAACAACTTTTAATACCAACTCGGCCAAGTTTTGATGACTAATTCGGTCTATTGTGAAATTATTGATCAGGTACAGTATTGCTAACCTAGCAACCATCAACCAAATACCCATTATTATCAAACATTAATAGGCCTAGTTTCATTTTTGTATAGCTTTTATATCGTAAGTCTCAGTCAAATGTTCATTTTGTTGCTTGTGTTTGTTTCATCGAATACAACTGAGCAGATAATGCATGAAATATTTAAAAACTGGGGAAAAGGGGGCGTTACCGCCATATTTTACACAATTTCCCCCAGTTTTTAAATATTCAAAAGTCTGTATCACATTTACCGTTACCCAGTCGTCAGACAACTTTTTTCTGTTAGATATCAAATTTTTTTTCCCCTCCGGAGCCTGATTTTAAAATGTTCTGCTGCACAGTGTAATAAAGAAAACTTGCTATTTAGAGAAATATATCATTGTAACTGTCTACAGTAGTACTCTTTGCCTGTTTCTTACAGTATGTCATGTTGACCTTAAGACTAAAATGCAGATAAAGTGTGTTAACTGGCATGTCGCTTTGCCTAACTGCTGTTTTAGACATTCTATAAAAGAGAGAAAAAAAATGCATGATGAGTTAAACATAAGATTTGCTGATTTATGGCCATGGAAGCTGTGTTACTCCTTATTTTCTGAGTAGTCAACTATACTGTACAACTCCCCTGGCCAAAACCATAACTTTTAAGATTATTTAAATGAAAATGTGATTTCTTCATAGAAAAGTTAAAAAAGAAAAAAAATAAAACACATGATGAGTTAAACATAAGACTTGCTGATCTATGGCCAAGCTGTATTACTCCTTATTTTCTGAGTAGTCGACTACTGTATACTGTACAGTACAACTCCCCTGGTCAAAACCATAACTTTTAAGATTATTTAAATGAAAATGTGATTTCTTCATACAAAAGTAAAAAAAAAAATTCCTTCATGCAACCACCACGTATGGCATTCAAATTATGCACACTTGTTGATCCATATTTTGGAAGATACCAAAAAGTGCTGTAAAGAAAAATTTTGATCTTTGATCTCTTTTCACACCTGTCTGGAAAACATATGCCATCATTCTTTTTTTAGAATAAAAAAAGGACCTTATCTTGTTATGGGTCATGTATTTAATCATGTTGCATTATACCTGGGGATAAATAACTTTTACCACAGTAGCTTCATGTCGTAGTAGATGTAATTGGTTTTTTGTGTCTACTGCCCCCAACGAGATGTAGACACTAGTTATGATGTAGCAGTTAAAGATGGCGGAAAAAAGGGTAAATCCGGTTTAGGCATGATGGGTACTACTACCACGAGGTAGGGGGCGCTCTATTGACAATCAAATAGCAAAATTGCGTTCCAAACCCGAAATATTAAAGACTGTGAAACGCTGGTGAAATCATGGCCTCTATACAGCTTTACAGGTACTGTAGTATTAGCAGAGAAGGCATCTATAATGTTGCACTTTGTATAGTCCATTAACAATACTAAACTTTTTTTTTAATTCAAGAATTAGGCCAATGGTGGCCTATGCCTAGTCAAAACATTGCCTCTTTTAGAATGTACCAAGATTAAGTATACATGTGTCTAATAGTCAGTCACAGGTCGTGAAAAAAAAGAAAATAAAAAAAAAGTATGAGATGCTAATTAAATTTGGTATTTCATGTACTGAATGCAATAAAATGATTGTATAAGAATTCAATGAGTAAACCCAAATTTAGGTCTGCACCCAGGCTGTAATAATGTACCATCAACTACCGTGATATGTATTGAAATTTACATCTCTAAAAAATTTTGCAGAACTTATTCAAGAGTGACATTTGTGTAATATTATGTTTGGTACCGTAGTTGTTATTCAAAAAGAGGTGCTTATTGGGTTTATGGTATGAAAGCATTTCTGTCATTTATCTATATCATCAAAATCCTATAGTGAAATTATGGCCGAGTTAGGATGGAAAATGTTAACTGAAAACATGTGTTTTTGTCGTTATTCAGCAGAAACATGCGCTAAGTGACATAATATTTTTTTTTCCTATTACAGATTAGATGTGTTAGTTTAGGCCAACTTCTGGTTGCGAGCTTCGGTTGTTAAGGGTCGGAGATAAATAGGAGGATGGATACGAATAACTCGACTGCGACATATACACGCTTTTCAGGTGAGAAACTTGAGACAGGCGTGTACACTCTCGAGGATGAGGTCACAATACCAAACCATGCGGGACGACAGCGTACTCGCCTGATGTGGTGTTCCAACAATCGTCGCATATTGCTGGCGCTATTTGTGATATTCCTAGTTTTCTGTTTCGGTTTCATCGCTGGGTACCTGGTTCGAAGAAGCGTTCACAGCTCAATAAGTAGTGGAAATGAGGACAGCAGTGCCTGCACTGAAGCAAATAATATTGGGGAAGAGGGAACAACGATGGCTCCTCCAACTGTAGAAGCTATTTTTCAGAATATCAAGACAAAGATGTCACCACGCCTGATGAAAGATAACATTGAGTACGTGCACTAGTTTCTCTTATTGTGGTCTGATAACATACTGTACTGTGTGAATGTGTACAGTAATAATAATCGTATAACTAGAAATTGCAAATTGCAAGTGAAGTGCTACGAAGTACAACTGCATAAAATGTTCTTCAAACAAAATTATTTTTATGCGAGTCAAGTGAAAATAATAAAAATATAACAAATAACATGAGCACGACCCATTGGCTATATTAAAACAGCGTTGGTACCGTGTACAATAGTGTTTTGCTGCAGTGACATCTCTCTGCTGGCGACTCGCTGCTGCTGGCGAATCGATTTGCGCATGTGAAAATGGTATTTATTTCCGAAAACACTATGCCAGTCTACAACAAGAGTCGCCTAAATGTAATAATTAGCATGTTGAAATAGGCTAGTAAATAAGTTTAACTTTTTAGTTGTCTTGAGGCGATTGTTTTTTGACAAACAATGACCTTTCAGAGGTCAAATTGCTGTCGAGAATATGAATTGGCTGCTTCGCAGCAATAATAATAATTTGAGACAGTTTGAATACCTGTAAGAGTGGAATTGTTGTGGAGTCTGATCTCTGAAATGGCCAGCATTGAGTTTATATTTGAAAATTGTTTGATCTCATAATTATTTTGTTGTTTAGCAGTTGTTTACTATTTTTATGAAGATCATTGTTTTGCGGGTTAATTGCCAGTGCTGGTAGTTAAAAACAGCACTGTCATCAAATAAGTAAAAATTTCATACATTTAAATTTACATTTTAATGAATTAAAATTACCGCACAAGATATCTAACTTTCTACAGATCAAATATAGAATTTTGTAAATTTGGTTGGCAGTACACTGATTGTACAGTTAACAAATTCCAATGGGATTTCAAATACAGTAAATAATTAAGGTGATAATGTATACGTACTATGACATTTTTTCGTTTTCATGGTAGTATTTAAATGCCTTCATTTTAAAAATTTGATTGTTCATAATAATATAGACTATTACAATATTAAATCATTACTATCACTTTTTATGATTATTATTATTTTTTTTAATCTGCACTTTAGGAAATTTGGTATTAAGGGACCACATTTGGCAGGATCTGATTGGAGCAGAAATCAGGCAGACAGAATCTATGACCAATGGTCAAACTTTGGTTTTAAGACAACGCTCAAGAAGTATGTGGTTACTTTATCAAAGCCTGGAACGTAAGTAAATGTGACCTCATAGGTCCAGTAACTGTTTATTATACTAAAAAAAATCCTTGGTTCTTAATAAGAAAAATAAAATAGCGTGTATACTCGCGTATAAGACAAATTTTTGGGTGATTTTTTTGTATGCCCGGCGTAAAAGACACCCCCCCCCCCTGTTTAATAGTTGAAATTCCTACTTTTTCTGCTTTTTATTGTCCTGATACTGCATCTAGCTGGCTAAAAATGGAGCCAAATGCAATAATAATCTTCCAAATAATACTACAATTTCATGAGTTTTTGAATGTTCATCAAAATCAATATTTGCCCATATTTTAGATTGCATTCATTCATACCAACATTTTAAAGTAGCTTTATTGCAGTAGTAAATTGTGTGTTACGGACGATCCGCACATAAGACGAACATGATTTTACAAAATATAAATCTTGTATGTCATGCGTAAACGACCCCCCTAGTTTTTGATCATGATTTGCTATTAAAGCCTTGTCTTATATGCAAGTATACAGTAACAACATTATACATGAATAACATTGTAAAGTTGACATTCTTATACGAATGTTATGGAATACATGGTCTATATTTTTAATAGGAACTGAGTATTTATGTATATTTGGTTAGATAATATAGTCTTAAAATATAGACTAGACACTTTTAGTTAAAACTGATCTTTTTGTGTTCTGACTGGAGGGCTGAAATGTAAGTTTCAGTAGCATATCTTCGGATGAAACATTTAATACGCTGGTCCCCCGGCATAAATATGGCACATTAAAGAACACAGTACACTTCTTCGGAAAAGAGTATGGGATTTTTGCCCGTTGTGTATTAGCCTATTCACAACCCGCATGATTAAAATCGTAATGGTAGTAGTTTGGTGTATGTCGCACCAATAAAAATCTAGATCCAATCCCTTTCATTGTGTCCCAATGCAAGAGTTTACATATTAGGAATGAAGTTCTTTATCTTGTGATATTTAATAACATTGCACTGTATTATCATTTTGTTTCAGTAATACTCTTAATATAAGTGGTTCCATCGCAGAAGAACTAAGTGTACAATACAGGAAAGCATACACGCCATACAGTTTGAACACGTCGGTGTCTGTATGTAATCAAACTGATGTACCTACAGTATAATCCACAAATGATAGTAATTTGTCTCAATGTATTGCTTTGACGAGTTAGACTACGTCAAAGTTTTCTCCATTCACTTTACTTGGTCTTGGGCCCGGTATAAACCTCTACATTATTAAATATGTGGCAAAGACAAGCCAAACCAGTCACTAGTCGCAGAAATCGATTTTTGAGTTATTAATACAGTGTTAGAGAGTAAAATAACAGCTATAAAGTGGTAAAAAAATCATTCAAATCGGACATTTCCTTATGAAGTTACAAGCGTTTAACCACACAGCTGTTTAAAGAACAATATATGAGAAATCAGCCTTTAAAGTTCATGATTTCAGGCATTTCTCATGCAGAAACTATCTTTAAATCCTTAAAAAGTTTTATTTTAACATTGAAAATGGGGAAAATAACAGCATAGAATGATGTGTAGATATATAAAGGTTAGTTTAGTGCAATAAAATAGATTTTTAAAAATTTGACATTCCAGCATGTTTTGGCCATTTTTTCTGAAACAGGATTTGCGACGAGTGACTGGTTTGGCTTGTCTTTGCCACATATTATTATGCCACTAGGACAAGTGAGGCATGTCGTGGTGAAATGGTTCAGTTGTGGCACAGGCCAGTATTGAATAAATGAGCTAAGAAATATGGTAGCTGAAAAAATTAACTAGAAATCTAAATTTTTTTTTTCATTATAAATCAACAGTTTATAATTAATCATGTCCCAAATTATTAGTTCTGGAAGTGGTAACAAATCGTTTATTTTATGTTATTTACATAGTTAATTCTATTAAACAATGTATGCCTAAATAACTTTGTAGGACAATTCCTCAAAGTCATGTTTATCTTGACTCAAAGAGTGCTGTACTTCCACTTTCCAATAACTTAGGCTTAAAATATCAAATTTCAATGAATGACCCCCCATTTTAAAGATCACATACTCAGGTATCTGAAAATACCAATGACTTGAATTTCAATTTTTGCTACAACTTAGCCAATTTGTCACAACATGCCTCAAGTATGTGGAAATATGATAAAACAACCCTTTTTATTCCAGTTTATTAAATTTAAAAAGATCTTTATCAGAGCACGCAACTGTTTGTCTGCTTTATGTGCCAGTGTCTGATATTGAGATTGATAGGACAACACTGGAAATAAGAATATTTCAGACCTTCGTGAGTTTATACTTGGAGTTTACACCGAATAAGTCTGATCCCAATCCTGAAGTGATTCTAATTTTATACTGTAGGCCTACTTAACCTTCAATTGTAATCAAAATAGGAATTTTCTAGATCTAGAAATGGTTTTTATTTTGCAACGTGTTGTTCCATTTGATGCTCGGTGTATCCCCAAATACATGAACAACATTTTGGTATATACTGAATGAAAACCAAACCCACAACCTCCAGACATGGTATCAATACCGCTATACCATGCAGATTGCTCCATTGGTGAAGGTTAAATTTGATCCCCTAGTAGAAATTCACAGTTATTGCATTAAATAAATAAATAAATAATAATAGCAATAACAATAATATGTATATGTTTAACTTATAAAGCGTTTCATGCCAACAAGGCCTCTATTTGCTTCACATTATTACACTGGGTTTTTGGATCAAAGGACGACATATTCAGCCCTGGGGTTAAGTCCATAATGTTGTAGAGTCTGTAATGAGCACATTTTGTGTTTCAACCTACCAGGTACCCACTTGTACTCCTGGGTGGAGATAGACAATTCCATAGGTAAAGTCCCTTACCTAAAGGACACTAACAATATAATAACAACAATAGCAGAAAAAAATATTCTTAAAAGTCATAATTTGAATATTGTTGCTTCCAGGGAGAGCCTATATTTGTGAATTATGGACGTAATGAGGATTACCATGTTTTGACTTCGACCGCAAATTACAAATTTGAGGCCCACACAATTGCTCTGGCAAGGATGGGAAAGATGTCGCTGGGTCTTATGGTAAGATTTTAAATTTCTTTTATGTCCACCAATTACAGTAAAATGAATATATATTTTTATTGTAAACATCATGCAATTCAGCTAAAATTAGAAACTTGTGTATGGCAACTGTAAAAAATGATGGTTGAATCTATAGGGAACTTCATAATAGTTTAAAAGAACATAATCCTTTGGTTGTAAATTAAATTAGGTAAAGCTTGGCTGTGGGCCTGGTTTGGTGCCAGCAAGTGGCTGGGGCAGGGGTTCCCTGTCTAGGAATATAAATATATTTACACTACAATAACATTTAAAAAAAAATGAATTTGTTGAATGAAAGAAAAAAACAGACACATAATGAATTTATTATTTGCCAAACAGGTTCAATTCTTGTCAGTGTCTAGATTTTTCCTCACAACCAAAAACATGTCCATTCTTGTCTCATAACATTACTTTGTGTACTGTATGTTGAGCATCGTGTTTGTTTTTAAAAAGTGGTAATGCTGCTTTTAGATGGTGGTTGCTAATAGCAATCCTTGGACCATGTGCCTCAATAATCGATAAAAGAAAATAGAAAATAAAGATAAAAAGTAATGAATACCTTTCAAATTTTCCTCAGGCTAAAATTGCAGAAGAGAAAAACCTAAAAGGATTGATTGTGTTTGCTGATCCAACAGACTACGCCCCCAAAGTTAACTATTCTCTATCAATGCAATCAACAATAAAATCACAAGTATTCCCCAAAACTACGTCGTTACCAGAAGATACTGTTGTCCAGGACACGTTACTATTTTCCATGGGTGACCCTTTCACTCCTGGATTTGTTTCAGGTAATTTTTATTTGATATGTAAATAGACTATCAAATTTTCTCTGACAAAAACAGATGTATGCCAATATATTCATGATGTAGTTCAATTCAAATTTTATTTCAGACATTCTTTGCCCATATGTCAAAAAAAAAAAATGGAGACAAAAATCTTGTACAAATGCAATAGCAAACGGACATGGAATTATTATTAATACAAACCTGCTGCAGCCTGTGATGGACGTTTGCGCTGCCTTTGAAGTCTAATGTGTTCTCTGCCACCAAATACTTAGCAGGCTTAAGACCAACTCAGACAGCGTCGTATGGCGCAGCCTGATGCATTTGATCATCGGGGACAGTTTTGAGCCATCGTAAGAAATATTAAATTAATATTCTACGACACGGCAGTCCCCGACGCAAACCATTGCGTCTGCATTTAACTCACACAGACACGACACGACATCAAATCGCGTCGAGCTGCATCGTACGACGCTGTCTGAGTTGGCCTTAAGTTTACCAAAAAATTGAGCATGGCGAAATGGAAAGCCTCTTCTTTTCTTAATGCGCACTACTTACATTTAATCACTATGGCTGCGCAATCGCTTCCACCTTGAGGCTCCACATTTATCTTTCAAGAAATACCAAATAATATTTTCTACAAAAAAAAAGGTTTCGAATTTAATGAAACATTTATATCAGCTTTAAAAGTATGGTGTCTTTCAACTGGAATTTCCATAAATTTGATAAAACTTGATAATTCTAATTTTAACAGATATTAAATAAAGAATGATTGAGGATTATAATAAACTAAGTCATTTTAGGGTTTAATGAGGGTTAACTATTCGAAAAATTCAACCCAAAATCAGAGTAATTTTCAGTTTTTTGCTGCCTTAGCTTTATGGTCGAACCAATCGATCTTTAGACAAAATTATAATGAACAGAAATATTTCATGGAATTTGTTCCTGAAATATACACATAATAACATACTAAAGATCGGAAAAAATCTGGATAACATTGTTAATTATAAAGATATTTAATGAGTAAAAGTCAAACAATTTATTGCACAACTGTTGTGCAGCATATAAACGCATGTCGTTGCCAAGTTGTTGCTAACAAAAAAAATGTGAATAATAAGATAATACGCCCGTGCATGATCCAAAGGCGGGGAACACATTGGTTTGTCGCGTCAAAGGGATCTATTGCCGAGTGTTCTGAATAACACCTCCATGGTCATACATATTTAAGAGATAGGAGAAGATCAGTGTTTGCACACGAGGAAAAATAACCTTCTGAAAAAGTAGAATGTCGTACATTGTAAGACAATACTACTACATTAATATACTTTGTCCGAAATAATAAAAATTTGAGTCATATCATCTGACTTTAGTGTCTAATTTACATATCCTGAAATGAAGCTGACATTTGCATTTTTTTTTTCAGGTGATCAACAAGCCTTTAATTTGTCTCAAACAGGCCTTGTTAAGATTCCTGTAATTGCCATTGACTATGAGACGGCTTACAAAATATTTAGGTAGGACACTGTTCCATTATACATACAGTATAAACAATTTTTGATTTGTTGCTGTAGTTTCATGCATTAAGGGCTTAATATGCATCATCATGTTATGTTCATTACGATTTTTTTGAAAATGGACTGTCTGCCAGGAAAATATCCGAATTCGGACTGCTGGCCACTGCTGCAGTCCCCGCCGGACAGATCTCATCGGGTAGTCAGACCATAAAACATACAAAAATAGGCCAACCACAAGCCAACACATGTTTGTCACAGTCTGAGAATGCTATTTCCGGCCATCCAGAGATTGCTATTCTTAAATAAAATCTCATTTGGGAGGGGTGCCCCCTTCTCACCCCTTCCCCTTCTTGGGATTACGAGCTCAAGTCCCGCCTATTGGCCAACGTAGCCCCCCCACCCAGAAAATAAATTCTAGAGCCACCGCTGCACTGCTGTTATTATACTCATACATTTGTGGAATCCAATTATCCAGTGCTTTCAAACTAAACCAAAGACATTATGACTTCAGGTCAACATTCTGTAAAGATTATATTAATAATAATAATAATAATATTATTATTATTAATGGATTTATGATGCGCCATCCATTGAGGTAAACCTATTCCTAGTCGCACAAAAACATACATGGAAAATCAAAGACAAAACTAAGATTCAATAAAAATTACTCAGAAAAGTTAAAAGATAGTAATACTAAGTACATTAATAAATACCATGCTAAAAAACAATTAATGATTAAAATCAACTAGAAATAATTGAGTTTTAAGAGTCTTTTTAAAAACATAGAGCAAACTGAATCTGCAAAGTTAGTGAAATGCATTTCAGAGCCTGGGAGCTGCTGCATAGAATGCGCAGTCACCGTAGAGTTTAAAGATGCAGTCCTGGTACAGTCAATACTGTAGGTGTTTGTCCGCTGACCTTAAAGTGCGTTTGGCACATGTATTGACAAAAGATCGCTTATAGAGCCTGGGAGCTGCTGCATATGAATGCATGGACACCATATGACGATGCAGTCCTGGTACAGTTAATAGGTGTTTGTATGCTGACCTTACAGTTCATTTGTCATATAGACAGAAGTTTGCTTATATATGTACAGTCAGTGACGTTTCATGAAAAGATTTCCATGCTAAAAGGCAGCAACTTGAATTGAATTCGTTGGCTAATTGGTAACCAGTGTGAAATTTTCTGATCCGTGTTAACATGCTGAATTCTGAACATGTTGGCGGTTGCTCAGTTGTTGTTCGTTATTACCGTGTAGTAGTGAGTTCCTATTGTCAAATCTTGAGGTAACTAAAGTGTGCACTAGTGTAGCTGTAGTTTTGTCTTTCGTAACTTTCCGGATTTTGTTAATATTGCTAATAATGGAAATATGTAGATATTTGCAGATGTTCTCGACGTGATCATCCATGGACAATGTATTGTCGAATACAATTCCAAAGTTAAGAGCACTAGGAGAAGCAGGAATCAATGTTGAATCAGATTGTAAGCAGGTTGTGTGGATTTGGATTAATGATATTTTTATGATATGACCACAAACTCTGTTATAGAGCGTTACATGTACATTGACATAAACTGTAGCAGCCATTTTTTGTGTGTGTGTTGAACTGTAGGGATCTTTCGTTCCCTAGTTTAATTCCCATCGCATTGCTCTCTCCTGTTTACGGCGGTGGGCTGAAATGCAAGTATCAATAGTTGACCGTCTTTTGGATGAGACGTTTAAGCCGTTGGTCCTATGTGCAAAATTGCGCGTGTGCATGTTATAGAACGCTCTACACACTTCGGGTTGTCTTCTGGTGTACTTTCAAATCAACACATATTTTAGAAACGAGAAGATGCTCTTTTTTTATGAGTTTGAACTCTATAATTACCACATGGTCTCCATTATCTGAGTCCTGTGTGTAGGACTAAACAGAAATTAAATTCTTTTGTCACAACTGGTATAAGTCTATTAAATAAAAGTAGATAGGAATATCCTTGTTGAATTATATGTTTTTAATTGGGTTTTAGATTTTTAGTTTTTACGCTGTTGTTATTTACTGTTATTCAGTCCTGTGTGAAATTGCCCCATGTGAGATAAATAAAGGATTTTTTGAATTTGAATTTGGAAGGACTTCATTGGAAATGAGTCTTTTGTGAGTTATTCTTGGTGTCTATACCGAATACTTCCAATTTTTCTTTGTTTTTTCTGCTTTATCATTTAACAAAATTTACTCCATCTTGAGAAATACATCAATGACGGACCGGATATGTTGATCCTTTTTGACATTAAATTCTGTACTAAAGTTATATAGTATACAATTTGTTGATGAGTAATTAAAATCAAACTTGAAGTTATGAATTTAATTTCAGTACTATGCAAGGAGCAGTACCGTCAAAGGACCAGTTTCCCGAATGGTCCGGCTCCTTTCTCAGATATCCTGTTGAGGGCACTGGAGATCAAAATATAATAGCGAACATAAGTGTCAGTAACAAGCTTGAACAAACAGAAATTATAAATGTAATTTCTGTAATCAAAGGCTCAGTGGAACCAGGTAAGAATAATATCTTGTTATTTTATAGTATTATACTGTAGTATAGATAAGTACACATACCAGGGGCGGATCCAGAATTTTTCAAATGGGGGCTGGGTAACAATATTTTCAGAATAGTTAAGTGAGTAGCAAATAACATTGATTTGCATGAAATTTAAAAAATTCAGTGGCAAAACATGGGGTGAAGGCATGTGTCCCCTACTGGATCCGCCTCAGAATGCTATTATATTAATAATGAATGTTATAATGAGCATTGGCTACAGTATGTTCATTTGTAAGCCCACTTCTGGGATAAGGCCACCTTGGGTTTCAGCTGACCTCATACTTTACACCCAGTATTACGTACCAGCCTTTTCTCAACCAAAAACCCAGGTCATGATTTGAATGATTGACTTAGCTGACTATAACAAATACTCTAAAAGGCATACTTGCTGTGCTTAAAAATTGCCTTTTGATTGAAAATTTTATTTCGCAGATATAAGCCCCCCCCCCGGAAAAACCCCCCCCCCCCCCCCCCCCCCCACACCAGAAAAAAAAATACAAATTGGCCCAATTTTTGTATTGAAAAGTGGTTGGTGTACACCAAATAACAAACTTGCAAAAGCAGTACAGCGGAAACTCCAAATTCTGAATGATCACAGTAGCAAATCTCACTGTAATCCAGATTGTTTTTAGGTCCAAAAATTATTCCAATAACTACATTCAACTTCTGGATGCTTTGGTCACATCTAGAACGACACAGTTTACTTTAAATTCAAAGAGGACGACTAGTTTTTATTATTAAACAAACATGGCAAAAACGTTGCTGTGAAGATTATCTAATTATTGGAAAAGTGGAGTTGACAGAATAAAACATCTTTTTCGATGACTGGAAATTCAAAGACTATCAACCTGCTTGTCATTGTTTTAAAAAATTTCCCACATGTGTAATTGTCAATTAATATAATCCTATAAAAATTAGTATGCGAGGTTTGAGTATTGAGAGATCTGAGGAAGTTAGAATTCTCCACAACTGCCTTAGGATGGCTGCTTACCAAAAGCATTGTGTAAAGCCGGGCATCTACTGTTTCCAATGGTTTTCTGTTGGCACGATTCTTTGAAGGACAAAAGGTTTTTAACGCATGTGTTTTTCGTGACAATCCAGCCTAAAAAAATCAGCATTTTCATTCATTCTCATGGTATATTTATTCAGAAATTCAAAAATTACAATACAAAGTTAAAAAGAACTAGAGATACTATGTTCTATAGAACATGAACCCAGTCATTTTTTAAGAGATAACCATTGTGACCTTTAAGCTCAACCTGTGTGAACACCCCATGTTTGGTAGGAATATGTCTAAATGCAATTTGTCCAATCTTAAGTCACTAGCAATCATAATAAAAACTTTTCCTATATTTAGGACAAAAGCTCATTCAGGTAAATTTGACCTACATCTTAAACATGAACGCACTAACCGCAGAAAACTTAAGTTCGTGACAGCATTCAACAGGGTAAAAACAGTTCTGAATACAAAATTTTAAAGAAAAAAATGATCAATGGTTATTTAAGCAACCAGCATGGGACTTACATGGTAAAAGAAAGCTTTTACCTCGAAGTTTAGCGACCTGTCGTTGCAGTGTTATGGTAAAATGAAGCAGGAAGTATACCCAAAAAAATAAAACACTCTAATTTTTAACCTTTTTCCTATGCAAAAGCATAAGAGATAGTCAACTTTGAAAGAAAATGATCACTCAATTTTGCACTTAATTGTAAAAATATATAGATGATTATAAAGCTTAAAAATCTAGTTTCATAGTCCGATCGCCCCAGATTGCCAAATGAAACCATTCAATTGAATTTCGTCCAATGCTTTGCTATTAGTATCATTTTGAAATGTTACTAGATAGAACAAGAAAAATAACCCTTTAATGACCTTTGACTGTAAGTCTCTGAACACCACGGAGACCCTACCTTATGCCAATACATATTTGCCCAGGACAAGACTGTGCTCTGTTATTTGTGACAGAAGAAATCTTTTATTAATTTTTTTAAATTTTTTTTTCGCCCTAATTACCCCTATGTGACTTTGACCCCAAGCAGTGAACACCCCATGTATGAGAGGTGTCACCGGTTATACTGACCAGGTTTGGTTGAAATCGGCACAACCGTTTGGCACTAGTAGCGTTTTGAAATGTTGCCAGAGAAAAGATGAAAATTACCCCTTAATGACTTATGACCCCTTATCCCTGAACACCCTATAGACCCTGCCTTATGCCAATGTATATGTGCAAAGGACAAGACTGTGCTAAGTTATTTGTGAGACAAGTAGTCTTTTATTCGATTTTTGGTTTTTTTACCCTAATGCCCCTTATGTGACCTTTGACCTTAAATTGAAATTGTGAACAACACATAAATGGGAGGTGACTCCGGTCCTACTGACCAAGTTTTAATTAAATCGGTCCAGTAGTTTTCCACTAGTAGTAGCCTTTTAAAATGTTGCCAGAAAGAAAGAAAGAAAGAAGAAACTGCTCGGAAACAACCCAGTCAGCATGCTGCTGACTGGGTAAAAAAGCAGACGTTATTGCATTTTCTACCTCCCAGAGGCAGTGCAGTCGGATGGCGGTTGTAGGATTTAGGATGCTCCTAAAAATACAAAATAGACATTTCTGCCTGCAAAGCTATTACCATAAATGAAGAAATCTAAAATAATGATTTATCTGACTGCTAGATCTTTTATTCCTGGGGAAGGGTCTTTAAACTTCTTTTTAAAGGTACCACAGATGGTGCAGATACAACTTCAGGCTGCAAACTATTCTAGCTGTCAATAGCTCTGTTTCTGAAAAAAAAAAAAATTTGAACGTTGTGTTTAAATTTTAATCTCTGAAGTTTCTTGAAGTGACCTCTAAGACTGGAACGTTGGGTGTATACAAAAGTGAGGAACAGGAGGCTGCTTGTAGCAATTGCTAATGTACTTGTATGTTTCAATATGATCAATTTCTTTCCTCCTTTTCTCATGTTTACACATTTTTATTTCTGTTAAACAGAGACTTAACCATTTTCTCTACATCATTTCCATCTTATTAATGTCTTGTTTTATGATAGGGTTTTATACAACGGCACCATACAAAACATATGTTTACTCTACAATTATTGATTTTAGCACAAGATATTTCTGCTTTCAAAAATAAGAGTTCAAATATTAGTAAATACGATTTAGCTGTATTTTTACTAGACATATGCATACTTCTTTCTACCACAATTGACATGTCGACAAGGACGCGAAGCCCCGCCCACAAAGTCACGAAAACCTTAGACAATGGCGGCTAGACTTGCCGAGTTGGCGAACATTTTCTTTGCCATCAACCTTCTTTAAGAAAGAGAATTCAGGGTAAGGCGGTATGCAAATAAATCATATATTCATAGTGTTAATCTATTTCATGGAGCAGGGCGGGGAAATTGTTGCAAAAGCCTCTGTATTTCACTCCCAAAAGAAGAGGGAAAAGCTGCATTTAGTCAATTTTGTTGTCGGCAAAGGCCAAGTCACTGATGCACACTGCTCGTGTAAATCTGGGTATCTATAACCAAGCATAGACATCTAGGCTTAGGCTCACGTATGTTTCGCGTTTAAACCAGCTGTCTATTAGGAAATTAAAATGTCCAAGAAAAAGTTTTTAATCACATGACTAAATGACGCTCGCTGATTAGTCGGTTTATCTGTCAATCAAATCTCGTCGAGATGTTAATTGTTTTTAACATAGACAAAACTTTACCCATATTCAGGGCGTACCATGCAATCTCCTAAATTTTCATAAATGATTGAAATTGGGAAGTTTTTTCTTGTAGAACAATATGTGATAATTGGAGGTCATCGAGATTCAGTAAGTGTCGGTGCCGCTTCACCGGGTACTGGAGTTACCTGTCTTCTGGAAGTAGCCCGTCTCTTGAAATTCCTGATGAATAACCGCAGTAAGTATATTAGAACATTGTTTCTACTGAATTTGTTTTAATGGTAGATACATTTATATACTTTACTGCAATTTCATAAAGTTTGAAACCTCTTTTGGAACATCACTTATTATTATGACACCTTTTATTAAGAGGACACCTCTGTTATAAATGGTCACTCTCAGCCATAAAATGAGAGAAAGTATGTGGCACAGACAAGTCAAGCCTGTCACTCCTTGCAAAAAAATCGACACCGATCATCTGTAAAAAGTAATACAGGTCACCTCCAGTTAAAGACCAATTTTGGGACCGGGATTTCCATGGTCTTTTGCCACTTTGTTCTCCAATTACAATAATAAATATAAAAGACATTTGTTAATTTGTGACCACAGAAAAGTGGTCTTTAATTGGAGGTGGTCTTTAATTAGAGGGAAACCTGTATTAAATCTGAGCATAAAGCTGTATTCACATGGATATGAACCAAAATTTGGGCTGCATTTCCCATGCGCTGAATGCAATTTTCTCTATTCTTCTACACTGGTTAGATTTCCTGATCGGTTCTGTAGGCCTTCCAATCCAAAAAATTCAGATTTGATGTGAATGCAGAGCTTTTTAGTGGTATGAAAGCAATGCAAGGAAGTTTTTGGAAATGCACTGGAAACATCAAAGCTTGGGTGCAGCCCTTAGTGTTAAATCAAAAGTTCACCTTGGCCCTCCAACCCATTTTCATACCCACCCTTGCATTATGCATTTTAAACCATGCCTTTGAATTGGATTAAATACATTCAGTGTAAACACCAAGGATAGCCCATGAAAATCTAGAAGAAGATGACTTATTTCCAGTGGAGCCCTTCTGGTGGTGATTGGACAGTACACTGGCAGACAATCCCCTATTCTTTTCCGAAGCTTGTACTGCTATTTTTAACGTGCACATGAGCCATAAATGCACACAGGACTAACGGCTAACGTCTCATCCAAACGACGGTGCGCTATTGTAACTTGCATTTCAGCCCTCCAGCTGAAACACAAGGAGAGGCAGTGCTGGGAATTGAACTGAGAACTTAGAGATCTCCACGGTTCAGCACACACACAGTGGATACCTCCAGATTAGCTGTCTGAGGTAAGCTGCTCTTTCTGTATTGATGCTCTCTTTATTTATACTTAGAGTGGAAGCCATACAGAAGCATAATTCTTGCAAGCTGGGATGCTGGTGCACAGGGTCAGATGGGATCTACTGAGTGGATAGAAGCTCACTTAAGCCTTCTACAGGATAGTGTGGTTGCCTACATCAACTTGGATGATGCTGTTGTTGGAGATTATGTGTTTGACCCCACAGGTTCTCCTTTGCTATCAGAGGTCATTTACAAAGCCACTAAAAATGTAAGCATGCATCATGATGGATCATACAATATGACACAATAAGATATTGTCAAAATTTACTTTTGTTCCATATGAGATGTGTTTATTATTCTAATTTTGTAAAATTTTTAGTGTTTTTCATGTACAAATTAATTGCTTTTGTGACAGTTAAACTTATCTTAACCATTTTCTGGTTTCTTGTATATTGTACTTCCCAGGTTAGTTGTCCACTGCATGAAGATATGACTGTTTATATGGACTGGAAAAATAAAGTAGACAAAGATAATACAGATCCAAGGTATGACAAAAGACTTTTTTTCATATACCTTCGCTGAAATTTCAAAATAAAACATCAGAGAAAGGTGAAATTTTTTTTATTTATTTATTTTTTTTTATTAAATGCAATTAAGTTTTGTCAGAAATATCAAGTTTTAGGGAAAAAAATAAACTAACATATTTTTAAATTTCAGTGATAACTAAACAAAGTAGTAGAGAGTGCCCTTGTTTAATCAGGTTGATGTTAGATCTATATTTATTTCAGAGGAAAAAATATGAGAATATCTTACTGGATGGCAGAAGTGGGAGTATTTTTTTTTTCTGTAATGTTCATCTTTACTTGGCAGTGGATTTGCAACTAGGCAAACAATGCAATTAATCTTTAATGCAAAAAATAAAGAAAAGTTATCTGCTAGTGAAACAAAGTATGACGAAGTCTTGCCAGATGATCTCTTCATCTCTGCTGTCACACTCATTAATAGTCACCTGCATATTTTTTAACATCTAACATACTCAAAATAACAATAACAATTTAATGTAATAAATTATTATCTCTGAAATCACCCATTTGTTTGTCTTGTGATATTTTCTGTAATGTGGTATGTACGTTTATTTGTCTTGTATAATTCTGGGTCTTTTTATTTATTTTTTTACTTTATGTTTTCTTTTTAAATTTAAAATATTGATTTCCTTGTTTACAAGATATCAATACAATCAGACACTAGACAAAAACAACACTCTTCTTCCTGTTTTACAAACATTAATTGATATAAAGGGTAAAAAATAATATTTTTGTGCTTTTTATTTGACAAAGTCAACATTTGTTTAAAATTATTTTAAATTAAATGAATGCTTAAAACTTAACTATAACCAATATGTAATAATAATTATATTTAGGTTTTTTTAATATGTAAAGCAAGTACTAAATTAATTATAACTAATATTTTTTTCTTATACCAATCTGGTCTTCTCACTGATAAATTATCATCGTATGATAGTGTTGATGAAATTGACCGTGGCTAAATTAGGTTCATGACAAGAAATACTTCCCGGAGACCAGTGGCGGTTGCACATAGTGTACTGCAGTACGTCACGATACCATGTGATACTACTCCGTTGTTATCAGCGACACAAAATGCGTTCAACCGGATGCCATTTTCTCCACTGATAAACCATTGATCCCAATTTCTAACGTAATTATTAAGATGTTGTCTTAGTTTTTGTTTGTATAAATTTTAATTGATGATTAAATGTGTTTTCGATAACTAATATAATGTGAGCTTTTGTGTTTTTAGTACATTTTGATGGTAAATTACTAGGTTTCAAAATAACTATTCCAGAAAGCCTATTCTAAACCATTAAGATTATGAAGTCATTCAGGTGTAATGGTTGACAAGAGAACCACCTGGTGTTGTGACGACACTAATGTTGTACTTTATAATGTATGATTGATTCTGTGTCAGAGGACTTAAGAAAGATCCCAGTAGTATAACTGTAATAATTCAAAAACGAATGTGTAGGAATTAATGTGTTTTCAAATTTATAGCTTCGGTGTTCCTGGTATTGGTAGTGATGATAGCCCGTTCTTGCATCTCATCGGAGTGCCAACTGTATCATTCAGTTACTCATACAATAAGGTCAGATTTGTACCAGTTTTCATTTTTGTGTATGGTGAATCATATAATAACCATCTGCTGAAACTGCATCGTCATCATTTTCGTCACCACCAATTTATCAAGAATAGTATACAGCCATCATCGTCATCATCATCATCATCACCATCATCATCATCATCATCATCATCATCATCATCATCATCACTATCATTACGACTATCATCATTATCTTCATTACCATCAACATAAACATCATCATCATCATCATCATTATTACCATTGTCATCATCATCATTATCATTGTTACCATCATCGCTACCATCGTTATTATCATCATCATTAGGCGCAGTTGCCAAATTATTTCAGTGACAAATCGGCGTTCAGACGCGTTTTCTATTATTCTACCACAACACATCTGAAAACACTGTTTGAATAGCACATCGTTTGGACGCTGATATTCTGTTTTGGTCTTTGCTCCTCCCCTTTAACTATGGCCGATTGGATGCACTGTAAAACGTGTCCAGAGGACTCTCTAAAATAAATCATAATACGACTGACTGTGCGGCCCTATACCCAAGCACGGACTTGTTTACCTGCTAGCGAACGTCTCTTTGTACGCCGCCTATGTGTGCAAGAACTGACAGAAGTACGTAAACTCAGGGAAGTCCGTGGTCGATGCTAAAAAAATAGTCAGTTGGGTACGTGGACGTTGTTCAGTAAGCCTAGTACAGTGCATAGGTGAGACTTGTAATATTCAGTGATTTTACGAATCAAATATATTACGTAAAAAAATCCGATTTTCAGTTATTTCTGATGCAGTCGCAGAGTCGCAGGCCACCATCAGTTTTAAGAAGCACGATCACCATCCTGTGCAGCTGTGGTAGCATCCAGCACAGCAATTAATTGGTCTCCTTGCAAAGGGATGATGTGCTGAGACCCATGCCTCTGAAAACGTTGTCCATGATCAAATGGATGAAAGTTTATATTATACTAAGCTAAATTATATTTATTTTTTATAAAACAACGTTTATTAATTGAATTTATGTGAATTTCATGGGAAACATGTTTTTTTTTTTAATGCCGAATTTCACCTCAAATTTCTACTTGTGTATTCCATAAAAACATGTAAGGCTAAACCATTGCCTACCCAGTAAAAATAAGTAACTGTTAAAAAAAAAAGTTATACCCCGTTTAAAAATGGACAGTTTCAAATCACCCAGTACTCTACTTGTTTACACAGGTGATTCTGGGCCCGGCTCTCTGCACCCAATGCTCGACCTCGAGATCAAATTTGAAAGAGGACTGTAGTTTGATCAGTTAAATAGTAAATAAAAAACTGAAGCGCATGATTTGTTAATATGACAAGTTATTGTCTATCTAAATTTTACTAGTCAACCAAATATATATCTCTCGATTCGGAGGACCTACAGTAGAACAGTATTAAGAAAATGCACTGCTGCATAGTATACACAGTAGAGAGCACCTCAGAAAATTGTTGTGAGTAACCACCCGTGCGCGAGGACAAAAAAAGGATATGCAGACTACCTAGGTCTAGATTTGATTTTATATTTAGGCCAGAATGTAACACCAACTTGTGATTTGTAATGACAATGCATACCCTCCTTCACTTTTGCAAAGAAAACCCCAGTGCTATTTTTAGAGTCGCGACGTAGTCCTATCTACAGAATGGCATACAAAGCGAATTCCAATGGAACTCACTTAGCGCATACCGCGCCCTGGACTTCCAGGCACGTTAATTGTTATCATGTAATTTAGAAATCTTCATATAAGCATAGAGAAAGTATAGCCACATGTACGTATAAGAAAGAATAGGAGCTGCATAGTAACATTTATTTGAAACGCCAGTATTTCTACGCACTCAAGTGGGCCAGTTGATCGCGCTGTTAGTATAGTAGTAAACAATAGAAAATCGTTCAAACGATCAACAAGCGTCCAAACGATTCACTGTCGTCTAGCCGTGAGCCGTAATTCAAGCATGTAGGAAATGAATATTCATATAGCGTGGTAATTAGAATGGTTGATTTCTCAGACGCGTTCGTGATAGGGTGTTGACCTAGACATGTTTTTGCCTCCTGGGATAATTTGGCGATCGTGCCTTACTATCATTATCACCTTCATGGCCACGACTGTCATAATCATCATCGTTGTCTTCATTATCCATTATTATTTATCTTCACCAGGCAAGCACGAAGACAGATAAGTACCCATTATATAACACTGCCTGGGACACATCTCTACTTGTTGATATGTATGAAACTGAAAATCTCGACTATCACTCAGCAATTATCGAGGTTGCCCTGCGGGTTCTGTTCGAGATTGCTGATAGCCCGATATTGCCATTCTCTGTTGTTAACTATGCTAATGTACTGCTTAAAGAAGCAGAAAGGATAAACAATAATAATGACATAGGTAAGTTTACATACTCCTTCAGGCTTCTAATACAGTAACTGGCATCAGTGTAGAAAACAAGAAAATTGATGTTTTAATGTATTCATATTCTCGAAATTATAAGCTTTGAAAATGATAGGTGATTGGTATGGTGAGACTTAATTGTGATGATATCAACGTTGTTGAAGCCATGCGACATCAAAGGAAAATTTATGATTTTTTATAAAAGTTCATGTTTTTTTGTTTGGACTTTCATTTTGACAATGTTGGACTAAGGTGCACAAAATGAACATTTGACTAAATACATAAAATTTATTTATTTTTTTTGCGATGTGGGTCTCATGAACTACAGGACACTACCTCAAATATCAAATATAATTTCAGTTACACACCTGGTTGCTATGCTATTTTTGACAATTCGGGCACGTGCAACTCAGTCAATTAAGTGTGTAGGGGCATGCGACATGTAGAATGTCAATGCCAGAGTTATAATCTTTGATGCCTGAACTGTTGTTTCTAAAATAGATTTTCTTTTAATATTTTTTTAAAATTATTTATTATTGCACTGCAAGCTAGGTCTGAAAGCCTAATTTAAGGGGTGTGCTATTAAGAACAATAATCCTTGCTTTTCAAATAATTATGATTTATGAAACGGCAGTATGTGAAATTCTTCATATTATTCTTCTCAGAAAAATAAGCCAAAAGTAGATATAGTTGTAGAGCTAGATTTCAACATAAACTGTCTGTTGGTCGATTGCCGTCGTTATGAGCAAAAGTAAACAAATGTCAATGATTTTGAACATTTATTATTTAATAATTATTGTTGTCATAATTATTATATCAATATTATTGTTTGAGTAATTTTTAAATAAGTTGCGTTTTTCATGTTTTCATTGTCTTAAAAAGACTACACTGCAGTTTGTACAGAAAGTGAAATTTTAATGCTACATTATCATCAAATAAATAGCTAATTTTTTATCCCCAGACATTTTAGTTTCTGCTGCCAGTGACTTCAAAACCAGTGCAGAAAAATTTAATGTATACGTAAATGATGCAATCCAAAAAGAGAACAGCGAGCTGTAAGTCTATAAAATCATTATTTAGGTACCGGTATTTTTTTTCGAAAAAAAATACCGGACCACTTGTATAGTATTGGTCCCCTGAAAGTCAATAAGATTTATAAAAATAATTTTGAAATTAATCATTTTTGCAGTAACATACAAATTATCAACTTGAGCATAGAAATGATTAAATTAAAAAATGTGTACCCTGATTTTTATACCAGCTGAGGATAAAAATAATAAAAAGTGTATCTATCATTTTTGGCTGTAAAATTATGGGTAAACATTATTATAAATACACTAATTTCTATGTTCAAGTTGTTAATTTTTATGTTTCTTCAAATTGAGCAAGTTAATTTCAACAATAATTTGTATTAAATTTAGTTTGTATTTGTTATGAGACAATACATGTTTAAAGCCACTATCAGCAATAATTTGTATTTTCTTTTCTTATGTAATTCAATAATTAGCATACAGTTCTCAAAAAAATTAAATTTCTATTACATACAAAGTTTTATAATCCATCAAAATTCAGCAATACGTATTGGTTTGATAAATTCGTTGAAATAGTTTATGCAAAAAAAAATTGAAGCCCCATTCCTAACAAAATTTCACCAAAAATAAGGATTTTTTTAGAAAAATTGTATATGCATTGCTCTAATCATTATAAACTATAGAAAAATATTGTCATAAATTTTAGTTTTACTCAAAAGAATATAAAAAATGAGAAATACAGTCTATTTCTCATAGGAGATTTCCATTTTCTCGACGAATTCTTTGTTACTAGGCAAATTCAGAGGTTGTAGATCGCATTTGCTGGAATGCTCTCACTGTTATGTATACTTTATACACTCAATAAATTGCACCCTCTCTAATGAGATTAGTTTTTGTACTTCGCATCTCGCACACTGCGATCGATTTGTTTAATTGAGATTTATTTAATTGTCAAAATCTCGGTCAGAATTATTTTTTTAACAAATTTGAAATAATTCCTATGAAATAATATAGTATTAGCAACGGAAAATATCATGTCGGCCGTTTTTATGTGTGATAACAGAACCTTGAGGTAAGGCTAGGCCTAGCCTAGTGGTGTTGGATAGGCTAAAGTTTCCGGCGCCTACTATATTTCTTGACAGACTTATCGCAAAATCATAAACATAAAAAATTCATCTGCATTTATTTTTTGTGTGGAACACAAAAAATCAAATATCAGTCTTATTTTACATTTTTCTCATGTTTAGGAATCTCTGAATTCAGTCAAACTAGCAATTTCGTATTATATTTATAAATCTGTATAACATAATAAAAATCAGATATTTCTTACAACTGAAATTTTGTCGCTAATGGGGCTTTAAGCTACAATCATATCTTACTATTACTCTCCGTTTCATTAACGAAATTTCGTATCATTATGATCAATGTTTTTCAACTACCATAAAACATAATTGCATTTTAATATCTTCAATAATGATATTTAAAAATGCCAAGATGAAAAAACTTGTTTGATCAAACTTGTTTGTTGGCACGTATCTGCTTTCTTTGCGTTTTTGCTAGATAGGCAAAGTGTAGTATGTGAAAGTTTTCTGTGGTTTTTTTGTATAACAATATCCATGTACATATTTATCAATAAGTCTGTTCAAAGTTGGAACTGCGCATGCCCCTAGTGAAGGTCATTCAGCATAAACATTTAACCCACACAACATAGGCCTCCAAATAGGCACAGCCTTTTGGAATCGTCTAAATTTTTAGGAAGCTATAAGTAACAGTTCTTCATCTCTACCGTAAATATTAGTTTATCAGTTGATGCAATATATTCTTTACACGCATCACATCGCAGTTTACAATTTTCAAACAATTCTAAAGGCTCCTCTAATTCTATAGGCCTAGTCTATGTTGAGTGTGTTTAAATGATTATGTCAGTTGACCTTCATTAGGGCATGTGCAGTTCAAATTACAAACTGGCTTATTCTGTGGAGTGTATTCAATGTTTTATTATGAGGTCACATTTTGTTTTATCTATTTTCAAGTTTTGAATGTTTTGCCTCTCTAAAGTAAAATGTGTTCTGTATTTACAGATACTCTGGGATTAACTTCAAATTAATGTCAGTCGAAAAGATTTTTCTAAGTAAAATTCAACGACCATATTATAAGGACTACAGGTAAGAAAAATATTGATTAGTAACTAAATTTTACTAGTCATTGTATATTTTTGTTGAGTGCATTTATCCATTAGTACATAAAGCCTAGTAATTAGGCAAATGTGTGTTTGAATTGTCACCAATTTATTAAGGAAGTAAATACCATTGAATTTCCTATGGTGATTAGTCAAAGCCTGGATCAAAATAATGCTAGGCCCAGGCCCAGACGGTAGCTATTTACAGTTTTTCCAAATCTGAGTGTGTCCCACAAACGAATGGGCTTTGTTTAGCAACCCAAATTATATCTTTTTGTGTTTACACTGACCACAACCGTAGGGTTTCACAAAAATCTGGTTGTTACTACAGTTTGGCTTTCAGTGTAAAATTGGTAATAGTTGATAGAATAACATTGAAACAGTATGTGATGTTTTGCCATGAAACCCGAAGTTAAAATATGTGACCGACTCTGGTAAAAATTGAGTTTTTGGTATTTTAGATTCTGCATGAATTCTTAAAAAAAACAAAAAAAACCTGATTTTGAAGTGTCAGTATATTAGCACAACTGTGAAAATACAGCTTCAAACTCTAGTGTGCAAGAAAAGCTGCGCACACAGTAAACAATTAAAAATGCACTTAGCAACCAACCAGAACATAATGCATATGGTATAATAGAACATGAATCTTTACATTTATTTTTTAAAATTTTCAAAATAAACTTTAAGTATTGAAATTTTAGAAATGTTAACTTGCGAATATTTGTGAGAACATGTCGAATATGTGAGATCTTCCCATTAAGTGAGTGTCATGGCTGGTAAATAGCATATTTGGGTAGATCATTACTAAAATTCTATGAATGGCTTTCCTAGGATAAGTAAAAATTGCGAAAATTGAGAGACAATGTAATGATCGTGTACATAAATTTCTTTACCCTCTACTACTAGGCATTTAATGATGGGACCAACATCACAGAAAGCATTCAACGGTATACTGTTTCCACCCCTCAGTGATGCCTTAGCACTTGGAGACAATACCTCAGAGAGCTTCAAACTGGAAATTGTCTCGTCCTTGAGGCAAGCCTCCGACATGCTATCATCACAGCGTCCTTAAATGTGCTGACGAGTGTGTATGGTATGCAGAATACCTCTTCTATGCTTACAGTCAGAACTAAAGCCTTATCTGGACTATTATATTTGGTCATGATGACATCACATCATGACCATATATAGGCATGTATGACTATATATGGGCATACACCAGGGCTTATGCTTGAGATCTGTCTATATCTGTTGTTAAGAATTGGAGGTATACCGATCATCATGTGGTAAAGACCCCGACTAACTATATATTACTAATAAGCAATGTCTCTTAGGCCGTGTTTTCTGCAGCACTTATAATCTCTCAGTTAATTTCTCCGATAAATTATCTTAAAATTCCCTCCAAGCATTTTAGCCCGTCATGCAAAATTATGAACAACAGTGCAATGTGTTTCAACATCAAAACATCTGTTTTGTGGACCTAGCAGGTGACCTATCCCTATAGGGATTGAAAAGAAGACAAAAAAGTAAGCTAGCTTTGATTGGTGTGCTTTACAAGTACTATAAACGATAGAGCCAGGCCCAGCCACGCACCCTCGACGTCAAGCGCAGCCGTTTCAGGCTTTGTTTTTTTGTATGTAATAAGTGCGAACAAAATTAACTCCAAACCAACTACCCAAATTGATTCTTTGCATGATCGTGTTATTTGTTTTCGCATTCGGAGCTTTTTCCGATAAATTATCTAATTTTCATACGAAAATTTATCGGAAACTTCGGGTCCCATTTCCACAGTGAATAATAACAGAATGGCTGCTTTGCGATAATTTATCAGATAATACTGTAAGTGCTGCAGAAACACAGGCCTTATGCTGATTGTGGTCTGGCAATGTGAGAGTGCTGTTATTGATATTTATTCATTTTGGTAAAATCATTTTCGTTTATTGATTTTTTTTTTCTTTTTTTTGGGTTGTGTAGATACTGTACATATAAAATTATATGCAGCTTCCAAGATTATTCTCATAATTATAATATCTGTTGTATGTAAATCTTGAGATTATGTCTATAAAATTTACTTTCTAGAAGATTTCTGATCACTTTGGTTCTTAAACACTTTTTTTTTCAAATATTTGATATCACTGCTGATAGTGTTTTACAAAATATAATATATAATTTTTTTTCTTATTGAGAGTGTGTATTTGGTAATGCTGCATGGTGTGGGGAGGTTGCATGGAATGAATATTTTTATTACAGAGAAGAGTTTGATTGCTACATGCAGTGTTATTTAAAAAGAAAGGAAGGAATGAATAATTCCTAACTTATAAATGAATATACTGTATCAATATGGAAATAGAAATTTTAAGTTTTGGTTTTGGTACACATTAAATAATACAGTTGTTAATACCATGCATAATGTAATACAGGTGGTTCATTGCAGGGGTGGCACTGTGATTTAGCCAATGGAGGGCTCAGATCTCTGACAGGAGCGTAAATGGGTCGGACCAAGGGGCTGCCCTGAACCTCTGAAAGGGGGTCCAGAAGGACGGCCTGGCAGAGAAACCTCCCAAATTTAGGAATTAAATTTTTTCTGAAAAACCAAAAATCATAGATTCTTTTTCTCCCTGATTTGGAAGGAAGACAGCTCTTAGCCCTTTATTGGTGCCACTCCTGGTTCAATACTGTACCGCTAGTCAAGTAGTGTATAGGTTTAATCAATTTTTTAAAAGTATGTGTGCTGCACATGTGTTCAGATTGTATATGTTTTCAGGTTTTTTATAAATGTGTGCAGTTTACTGTTGTAGCTATTGAAGTAGTGGAGGATGGTGCATTGCTGACACTTGACAGTGGCGTTTCCAGTTCAGGAGGGAGAAAAGGGAAGCCCTGTCTAACAGGCCAAAAATCTGTTGATCACATCTCATACTTAAACGCCTCAGAACAACTTAAAATGTCGGAAATTGCCCAGTTTTACTACGTACCAGGGCCCCTGATCTACACCGGGGCTTTGTCATACCTCCATTTTAGACAACAGAGCCTACACTGATTGCACATGCACGTGTGAAACTATATATGGAGTGTGTTGATTCACAGGTGCACAATGTACAGGTGTTAATGTGTCCGCCATAACAGCTTGTAATACTTTCCTGCTCCGAGACATTCAATTTATACATTAAGTTGCTCATTTGAAAGGTTCAAGTAAATAGTTGCAAACGTATACCCGATTCATAATAAAGAAAATGATCATGTGCTAAATGTTTCTTAAACTTCATGAGATATAGAAATCTCTGAACCTTGCATAAAGTTGATATGAGCAGTATGTAGACAGTGAGCAAGACAACAGTTGATAAGCTACGTCTGGTAAGCACGTGCACAGGTGTTAAATATCTTGTGGGAATATCAATCAACTTTTTGCAGCTACATTCTAAAAATATATTGTTGAATTACTATATATATA